CTAAAATGCGCAGGGTGGTGGAAAACATGATTAAGTTACACCCTCCTATTTGGCTAAACATGCACTGTCATGTTCATGCTTATGAAATCACACACCATTATGGCCAAGATAAAATTTTCACACGTGAATCGGTTTGGGGAGGGGGAAGCCCAGCTTCAAGGTAACGCTCTATAAAGAGTTTTCACTATGTATCACTTTAGTTCCAGTTTCTAGTTTGGCCATGCTTGTACAAAGGGGACAAAATCAAATATGGAGAGATGTAGATATATATAAAGAGATAGATAGATAGACATATAGATAGACAGATAGACAGATAGATAAATAGATAGATAGATAGATAGATAGATAGATAGATAGATAGATAGATAGATAGATAGAAAGATAGATAGAAGCGTCTCTTTGTGTGTTGAAAGCCTGTCATTGCTACTTGTTATTTTGCTTTTTTTATGATGTTTCGTTCGTCTTCTATATATGACATGCGTTTAAATAGGCATAATACTATCATTACACTTCCACCTAAAGGTTAAGTAGTATCCATTATCATTCCCGCTATCAGGGTTTCAATTACAATGTATGTTTAAGTTTAATGTCATATTAATTACGATCAATCAAAAAATGGGTGACGAAAAGTGGTGACATAGTCGTAGGTTTAAGACATTCATATCGGAACTGTATAGCAGACTGACACGCATAGACCTACACACACCTACAGACACACACACACACACACACACACACACACACACACACACACACACACACACACACACACACACACACACACGCACACACACACACATACACACACACATACACACACGCGCGCGCATATAAACACAAACCGTGAGCAGAACAATTTTTAACTGGAGATGTTCTGTATACTATCAATATATCTTTACTCTTAGGTTACAATATGTGTTACAATATGTATGTAGGTCTGTGCTTGTCTGTTTTCTATTCCATTCAAACACGAATGTCTGTTTCACCACTTTTTGTCACCCATTTATCATTGGTCGTACTTCATTTGACATTAGACTTTAAAATCATTGAAAGCATGATAGTGTAAATATGATAACGACTACTAGCTAACCCTTAAGTGAAAATATATGCCTTTTGAAACGCATGTCACAGATAGAAAATGAACTAAACATAATGATAATATAAAAAACAAGCAAAAACATGCTAAGCACTGACAGGACAGGCTTTCCACACACAGACACGTGCGGGAACCTGTCTGTCTATCAATTTGTCTATGTGTTCTATATATCATAATATATTTGTGTACATAATATAACAATAAATATATAATACATATATATTATGTGTGTGTGATGTGTGTGTGTGTGTGTGTGTGTGTGTTTGTAAACATATGATATGCATTATATATTATTATGTATACATACATTTGTGTGTATGTGTGTGTGTTTGTTTGTTTTTTGTTTTTTCTGGTAAAATAGTTGGGCTATTTGATGATGTAAACGATCATCGCGGTACATTTCAGGGGTTACCATGTTTTTAGTGTAGAACTTTTGTGTGTGCCTATTCTCTTGAATTTGTTATCGATATGTGCACTATTTGGTTTTTAAAAGCAGGATCAAAGCAGCCTTCTCTATAACTGGTGGAAACTGCGATAGTAGAAGCATAAAACATGTATAGATGTAAATGAATGTTGGTTATGACGTAATAGATTTTGAAAGTAATGTGCACTTAACGTCCTTCAAAACTATCCAAATTGTGTCGATGGAGACGTACAATTCACAATCGTTTACTTACGAAGCAAGCACCATGGAACTGGGAAATTCCAGTATGATATCGCTGATCATTTTTAAATGGAGGATGGAAGGAAAAGCACTTGCGCGGAACGACGATGATGATGTAAAAGAAATAATTTAAAAAAATAATTGTTTTATCCTCAGAAAACCTGAGAACGCATCACATTTCATCCCCTGCTCCACGCCTTAGAAGTCAAAACGGGCCATGTTCGATAATGTGGTCTTTCCATATTGACTGTCTTCTAATACACCTCATGTGGATCAGTCTATATTTCCTGTAGTTTAGAATGAGGATATGAAATTGCTTTACACTGAAAAAGAAATAACCATGTGTTTTCCAGCTGTACACAAAGACAGAGTCAAAGTTAGGGGCTTAACCGTTGTATCTATTATGTCTCCTGGTTGAAGTTCAGAAGAAAAAAAAAAAAACACTGTTAAGATTGAAATCACTGAGTTGCATCTGAATCACACAGGATGGTTTTCCAAGAAAAATCCATGAACAAATGTTGGTGGAATACATTGTAGAACTACAGACTGAACACATACTTGTTCCTCTGCTTTGTAAATCCATAATCTCTTGAGATCAAAATGAAGCTGATATGTTTTTGACATACACACAAACACACACATACACACACACACACACACACACATACACACACACATGCACACACAATACACACACACACACATACACACACGCATGGACACACAATACACACACACAC